CATTCGTATGCTTATCCCGAATTGCTGCCGTTACATCTGCCTGCCACAAGATATAATTTACAGTCGAATACATCGATATCAGTCAGAACAGTGTCGTCAACTGAAAAAATGCTTAACATCATATTGTTTGTCAATTTCTTGACAAACAATCTCCGAACAGTTGTTCACAGTCACCATCTGTAGAAGTCCGTAGTCTTCGCTGCAATATAAAAGTGAATCTCCTCCAAAGATCCTCTCTCAACAATTATTTGAAGTTTCGAAGTTATGTATGTTGTGGGAGGATAATGCCTGATTCTTGATATAGATCTAAATTCCCAATGGTCATTCATATAGCTGACCGACTTCATCATACTGGCAAGCTCGATAACGGTAGTCTCTCTCTCCCACATTTGATTACTACCGAGTCTTCGCAAAACCTTCGCAAAGTCTTCGCAAAACTTTATTCACATTTGATTCTATCGGAATAGTTACAAAATGTCCAGCAGACGCACCTATCTGCTTTCTGATTTTTGTAACGCATGGATTTTAGGTTGACCTGAGGTTATTCTTAACGCTTTTATGAGATACAGTGAATTGTTTCAAACATCCGCCTAATTTATACACATAATTACAATTGGATTACGGTAGTTTCTACAAGAGAGCTGTCATTGTGTGATTTGCTCGCTTTGTTACTCGTTAGCACCACCCCTCGGTCAATTCTCACTATCTATCTTCACGTTCTTCTCACTACTTCTCGATTAGCGTTCTCTATCTCTCTCTTACGCGAACTCTTGCTGTGTCATAATCGTTTAATAATTATCTACCGTATCATGAAGAACTATGAGCATACTGACTGCTGTAATTTTTGGATTGGTATGGTGGCATTAAAGTTATACGGAGCAACGTTCAGAGCAATGCATTCGTACTAGTGTCAGGAACCGCAAGATTTTTTGCGGTAGCCATCGATAGGCAAAATTTGAGCATCGGTTGGTTTCGACTGGTGTTGATTGAAGTTCGGTTTGCCGCGGCCACCGATCGAACAGTCCTTTTTGGTTGTAGTCGGGATCGGAATATTATGGCATAATTACTATATTTCCAAAAGGTCGGCCCCGCTCGGTGGCATCGAATTTGGTCCTCATTTGCCACCGATCGAACAGTCCTTTTTGTTTGCGGTCGGGAAACACCGATTTTCGGGGCCTGCGGTAGGCTATTTTCACAATAATTTATATAGAAGTAGGACGAATGCCATCTTTCAAATGGAGAAACGTAATGATGATTTTGTATCAATTCTAGAAACAGAAGATGCAGTATCGGACATAATGATATGAACTTCGGCAAGACCGGACGGCATAACAGCAGGAGCAGTGAAACTAGCAAAAGAGCAACTCGTTCCTCCTCCCACTCGTCTTTTCATCAACATCATTAATGATAAGGCAATCCCAAACGATTCAAAAACTGGAGACTCAAAAACAATTCTGCTGTACAAAAAAGGTGATCTAAAATAACTAGAAAGTTATCGTCCAATTTCGCCACTGTCTGTTAAGTAGAATTGTTTCATCGAGGTGATTAACAACTGCATACAACCACAACTTGACGCAGTGCAAGACGACCAGCAAGCCGGCTTCAAGCCACAACGTTCAATAATTCATCGAATTTACACACCTCATCGCAAAGGTCAACAAATGCAATACAACTTCCCACTGTATTTGCTTTTCATTGACTTTGGAGCAGCATTCGATTCCGTGAAAACGAACGCTGTGTGAAGTTTACCACAGTCGGCTTCAGTCCATTAAAGGACTACAGAAAATTTATGAAGTATCCAAGTCGGCCGTACATTTGAATGATAACAAAAACGCATTCATTGTGAGAAGAGGAGTCCGCCAGGGGGATATGATATCACCGAAACTATCAACGCCTGCCTGCAAGCGGTATTCGGAAGGTTAAACTGGCAGAAGAAGGGTATTAAAATTAATGGAAAAAAATTAAGCAATCTCAGATTTGCTGATGACATTGTCCTAATTTCACACATTTGCAACCAGATAAGGACAATGCCAAAAGAGCTCGTTCGGGAAAGTAGCAAAATTGGATTGAAGATCAACGCCATGAAAACAAAAATCATGACAAGCCGTGTAGCCGAACCACCACTCATTATCAACGGAAATCAGTGAATTTGGAATAAGTCAGCGAATTCAAATACCTCGGCAAGCTCATATCAGTGAAAATGGAAGGAAAAGCCGAAGTAAGAAGAAGAATGAAAATCTTTGTATAAATATAAGGAATTTTTTCGGTGATAGAAGGGTTGGAATAGCTTTGAAACGACGTGTTTACGACGAATGTGTACTTCCGGCGATGTTATACGGATCAGAAACGTGGACGGTGACAAAAAGGATGGAAAATAAGATGGCGATGGCCCAGAGGAGGATGGAGAAGGTGATAGGAGACGTGACATTATGGGACAGGAAATCGAGTGAATGGCTGAGAGGGTAACGAAAGTTAAGGACTTCGTAAAGTTTGCAAAGGAAAGGAAAATTAAGTGAGCAAGAAAAATAGCGCTAATGAACAATAACAACTGGTGTATAGAGTGGCAGCCTAGAATCGGGAAAAGAGCCGGGTACGACCAAAAATGAGATTGCGACACAATAGATGCAAAGTAGCTGATTAGACATGGATGAGAAGAGCAATTAACTGTGATAATAGTGACAAATGGAGTGATCTTGAAAAGGCTTATGTGCGAAACTTACAATAATTAGCTGACTGTGAATAAATAAATAAATGAATAAATATAAATAAATAAATAAGCGGTATTTTTCATTCCATCCAGTTTAAGTTTCCGATTTCGAAATTGCATTGATGAAATATTTATTTTTGAGAAGACTCGCGTTTGGTTTAAAGATTTATTTAATCATAGTACTTTCTAAGTTGTTTATTATCACATTCTCCAGCTATCAATTATCACACTCAATAGTACCGACTATCGTTAGCTATCAATCTACGCATCAATTTAACTAGCAATAAAAAGAATACCTAGGAGTTCTAAGACCAATAAGAATGATCTGATATGAATAAATTTAATTATAAATTGACTTAAATGAAAATTCAATCGGATGTATGTGATAAAAATTGGAACAATAAAGTGGTGCTGATTGGTGGCGTAGCGGAGTTGTGTGCAATGCGTTGGTTGTTCTCGTAACAGTGACAATTGAGAGCGAAAATTGTAACGGAGGTTTGAAATTAATCCATCGAATATGATTGGTAGTTAGCGATGGCATTCGACCGATGGTCTTTCGCAGAAATCCGACAATTTCGGTTGGAATTCTGACATTCGGATTCCGACCGAACAATTCCGGCAGCCGTCGGAATGATGAAATTTCATGTTGATCGGATTCCGACCGACATGAAATTCCGCTCAAATGTCATCACTACTTGAGACACGTTGTTTTGGAACAAGGAGTGAAACAATCATTAAATAAGGTTTACGGAAATTGCACAAATGATGGTGCCAAAAACATTAAGGCTTTATACGGATGGTCCAAGATTATGTCAAGTGCATTCTCAACCATTCACCATTTCACACCTTTGAATTCACTGGAAGCGACAGAACAAAGCCGTAATTGAAAAAAAACAACAACAAAAGAGCATAAAAGAATTCAGAAAGCGTCTTATGTAGTGTTCGGAATTCGGAGCAATCCTCCCTTATCACAACAGGTCGCGTGGGCTCCCGTGAATCGCAGATAAGAAAAATAACAATAATTCATCGTGCCAACTCACAATGGATCTCTTTACATAAAAAACGTTGCAAGTGAATGTTATAAAACAGTAATGCCCAAGTTCTGAAGCCAAAAAATTTCTTTTGGCTCCGTCAAAAAAAAATCCGAGCAACAGTTAGTAGCCGAAGCTAAGCCCTGCTTGATAAGCTAAAAACGTCATAACAACCCATTGACTCGTTCGATAGGAGATGTCATGTAAAACTGTTTGATGACCTACTGCAAGCGTGATTTCTACTAATCTACTCATTAGTCCAACTGGTGACAGTAGTTACCATGAATATCCATAGCGCTAATTTCGTTATAATTTCATTTGTTTTTTTGGCATTTTTTCGGTTTTTTTTGTTTCTTTTTTCGAATTCCGTTTTCGTTTTCTTTTCAGTCTTGTGAATTTTTTTCTAGTTCCCATTTTGTTAGAAATACTTTGCCTGCTTTCCAGTTGTACACTAAGATTTGTCATAATAACTGTTTTTCTAATTCTGATTATATGATGATGCTGGACCAGAAGTGAATAAATTAACAAAAACATTTTGTTGAATCTGTATTATCAAGCTGAACAGATGAATAAAAGCAGTCTATATTAAAGCTAAAATCCAAACCACAGTCTATGTATGCCTCTGTGGAATCTTCAGGTACATGAAGTATGTGTTATCACCGAACGATTTGAATAAATTTTGGACGTTGCAGTGAATGTTGATGTTCGCAGTGCGAATTTGTCGATTTATTTTGCAGTCTATCAACGACCACGTTGCACGATTTCGGAATTACTGATCAAGTTTGCGCCGTAGTTAAAACTGTACATTTATTTAAATGTTATTAGCTTTTTTTGCTGCTTAAATGAACTCATTTGTGTGCGTCTTCAAGGAGTATCCTACCCTAGGATTACGGATAATTGTTGGAAGTTATAGGTACTGACGGGATTTTGCGCATAGGCGTCTAAATGCACAGTATTTGTATTCAGACGCCGTAAATTTAATGTCTTCACCTTGAGTTTATGTTATTGTTATTATCAGCAATATTTTTTTGTTGAATCTCAATGTTGTTATTATCAGAATGCTCCGTTTTAGCCTTACTTTTTGTAGGGGTATCCATTAATTAAGCAATGCTTGTCAATACTTAGGGGATCCTCGTAGTTATTGTTGAAATGAATTCGTATCTTCACTAAGAACTCTGTGGATACTCCTTTTATATGTATCTATTTTTGTGGTTGATGACAGTCAAAGTAATACAAATAAATAGTTTCGTTTAATTCAGGCAATGTCGAAAGCCACACAGAAACTCTCCAAGGAGGATGAACTTCTGCTGAAGGTTTCTTGTTTTTATTTCTTTTATAATTTCTTTATATGTTTACTGTCATGAAAATATGTAGCAGTGGTTGACGGTATCTGTTGGTACCGTTCCCCCTCGTGTTATCATTAGTTTTTGCAAGGGATCTTGGCTTTTGAGCCCGATTCCGGGATTTATTTCCTGAAAAACATCGGAATTTGATGAAACACGGTATTTTCTGTAGTTTTGATGATATTCTCATTTTGAACTACACACCAGTCATTACTATTTGTTGTTTACTCTCCAAGAGACACTAAATAAATGAATCGTTACATAATAATGCCACCCCAGCTTTCGTTTTTCAGAGAAACTGAAAAAGTTTCGTACTTCTTGTTTCATTCTCCGTCATCACCATTTCCTTTTGTACCGTTTACGATTATTCTTCAATTCCATGACTTAGTCCTGATCCCATGATTGAAAAAGTGGTCGGAATTATACAAACACCAGTTCCTATGTGCTAGTCAGCTACATTATCCGCTTCTCAAAATGACATCTATTTTAAGGATTTCTCAGCAGCTGTATCAGCTAAGGGTAGTGCGATGTTCTATGGTATTTCAATGATGATGGCTTCTGCACCACTCTATCTGTTTTATGGCATTCATCAAATGGAAGTGGCCGATTCATGGATTGTATGGCTTATTTCAGCTCTAATCTCATCCTATTTGATTAGTATTGCTTACAAGAATGTTAAACACATTCTCAAACATAAGTTCGTTCCTTCATTATGTTCTTTTTCTGAGATTTTCTCCATAACTTATATCATTGCAAGCGTACTACCTCGTTTGTTTATGTTAAGCATAACATTCTATAACTTTATGAAGTTCACTTGATCGCTCTAATTCACTTATAACGCTATGTGGAGAAAGTAATAACCGTCCCTTCAAACTGCGACCGTGTTGATGAATGATCACTTCTTGAGCCTAAATAAAGGAAGTGTTTTTATCGAGACGGAATGCGAAATTGCTGTTGGCGTTTTTATCATACAAAAATGAGTGAATTTTGTTAGTTGTGAATGTCATTTGTAGTTGAATATTTATTTGAATGATGAATTTAGAGTGGTAGTGAAACGTGGAGATGCAGTTGCTCGTGAAATGAACCGTAAATTAGCTGATGACAAAAAAATGTCAAAGAAAGAAAAGGATGAAAGGATTCTGTGGAAGAAAAATGAGGTAAGAGAACACTTCTGATTGGAATTTGGTGCAATTATGATAAATTAATAATTTGGTACGATGTGTTGTAATGACCAATTATCATAAATTCAAGCGTAAACTTACTTGTCTATAATCATCTACGTTATAACTCGACGCTTTCTCATTGAGTTAGGTTCATTCATGAATTTTTATTTGCTGTGGTAATTATGCAAGCAAATAGTCACAGTCCCCTGTGTGATTGTTAATCATTGAGAAAATTAATTTATTATTGTATTGAAGTGAATAAACGAAATGAAATAATGCATGAGGATTATGTAACAATTACAATAATAAACGAATTAATTTTAGGTTGGTGATTATGAAGCAACAACAATGTCGATTTTCTGGAATAACATTCTCTTCGTTTCCATATTGTTGGTGATGTCGTTCTTTTTGTTCACTTCTCTTACACCAATCTTTAATTGTCTTCTCTCGATGATCGGTTCAGCTGGTTTGGTGGCTCTCTTCTCCACAGCAAAATAGATGAATGACCTTTAATTCGTTTTCATTGCCATTCTTATATATTTGATCCCGAAATTGTGCAAATAATAGTCCGATTATGATCAAAAAGCTGTTCTTTGGTCGTACTTTTGTGCATTCGGAGAGGTAGCGTTGAAAATGAAGATAAAAATGCCAAACAGTTTAAATTTCAAGCCGTACTGTTCTTTGAAATGAATTTGGTATGTTCATCTCTGTCATTGTTGTCTGATTGGTTTTGTGTGGAGAACTGGTTGTGATGCCAGAAAGTAGTAATTACATATTTATCATCTTCTGTCGATGAATGGCAAAATTTGGATTAATTTTTTGAGTCTTTTATTCACTGTACCGATGTCGACGGTATTTTCCTCACCACTGAAATGGAAGTGGAAAGTCTGTGGTAGTTAAATGAATAATTGTTTAAATTTGAAATAGATTGGAAATTGTGGTTGATATAAAGATTTGTTTCATTTTTCTGTCGTGTTGTATCGTTGTTCAATGTGTGAATGAATGATTTGTGATCTGTTTAATGGTTGATTTCATTTTCTTTACGAAGCAATCTATGGTGATGTGATTTACCTATTTATTGGTTGAGTTGTTTGCATATTCGGTGGAATTGGTAATCACCTCACCAACAAATTGTATGTCTTGAGGCACATTTTTCAATGGTCATCCTTTTAATGCACATTCTTTGGTTGAATCGTTTTTGTTACATTCGTTGTTCGTTTTCATTGAATAAACAAAATTTAGCGTTTGCATTTTCTTCATCAAGATATTGGTTCAATTTCCATTTAGTTTTATATGCACACACTGGTCGTTCAATTTGAATAGCAGTTCGATGTTGTCGTGTTTTATTTGATCATTTACTGTAGTTGTGTAACATACAAGGAGAATTGAGAATGTTTTAAGGTAAAAAATAAATGAAGGCATTTGTTAGTGTTGTTGTGCCATAAGTTGGAAGAGGGCACTGTCAATGAGATTGGTGGGTGGGTTTATGAAAGAAATTTAAGCCATGGCACTTAACACTCAACCAATTTACACTGATATTGAGCGGCTGATCACCAATTTGAGCAACGTACATGCTTGTATGTGATCGTTAAAGAGTATTTAATCGGTGAAAATTGAGATAACTCATTCAATTTTTTAAAATGAAAAGTTTGTTCTATTGATCGTCGTATTTGTTTCATTGCATACACTAATCTTCTTTGTGTGATTTCTTCAAAATGTGAATTTTATAGTTATTTATCCAATCAACACAAGTAACATTGTTCTTAACTTCCAAAATGTGCACCTCTCAAAATCGACTGGAAATTGAGTCGGATTTGTGTGCTGCCACTGCCGCCGTTACTTCTGTTGCTCATCATGCCACTACATCCTCAAATCATATGGACAATTCGAGTGATCCTGTTGAAAGAACTCATCTTTTTGTTGAGTTGACCTCTCTGGACGAACTTAGTTTTCCAACCAGTTCGTCACCCAGGATTAAGGTATATCTGTACACCCGTGGTTTTTGTTTTCAAGACAAATGATGATAATTCTTTACTGACTCTTATGGTGCTGATATCATTTACACTGATAATCTTTCGAGATACTTATGTTTGCTGTAGGTAACGACATTTTCCTTTTCCCCTTTCAATTTCCCAAGGACCTCTCTTACCGGTTGTCTGCTGATGTATTTAATTTTCACATCATTTACTAATTCAATGAAAATGTTCGGTCCATTCGTTCCTTCATATTAAGAAACTGTGGAGTGTATGAATGCAGATACCTAGCATGTGCATCATTTTATCGTGTTGCTTATTGCAGTATACGTGCCTTGATGCATCGCCGCATTATCTAGCAGTAGGTTCGACTAGTGGTACCATTTATTTATTTTCGAGGTATGCATCCAAATACATCAAACGAGTTAGTTCTGTACCAATCCAGGTGATTTATAGCAAAGATGGATGTGTTGTTAAGGTTGTTTTTCCTTTTATTATTTGCTTATTTCTCGTCGTTATTCATTTGTGAATATTTATTTACGCTCGTATTTGATTGAATAGGAGATCGTTGAGTGAATTAAAATGCGTTCCATTACAATTATACGTTTATTTGAAGTTTCGTTGATTGATTGCTCTTCTCTGCTCTCATAGGTGAAGAAACTTCTTGAAACATAGCAATTCGATCTGTAGAGAATTGATTCATGCTTAAGCTTTGGCCTTTGTATAGCCGATTGACTGCGGGATATGTGCGAGGGGGCTTAAGTTGATTTACGGTTTACGTAATGTAAATGTACAATGCTTTAAGAGTTGTTCACCAATCGTGCGATTGGTCGATCATATTGTTTTGATTTTCTTTTTTCGTAATTGATGATTTCTTTATCGAAATTTAATGATTGATTTAGAATTGTGATTTCAAATATTGCTATCTGCAAAAGCTGAAATTATTGAAAGGAATTCCATGAAAAGTTTAATTTGTGATCGAATTGAAGGTGGTCATATCGCCCGATGAGAAGTATTTGGCGAGCGCTGGTCAGCGTGGTACATTAAGCGTTTCAGCACTCTCACCGGTAGCGCATTCGCCGGCAACAATTGTGACTAATAACTGTCACATTGGAAATGGTTTATCATTATCATTATTTTAGTTTTATTAAAATAATGGTGTTGGTATTGCATTCTTGAAATAAATATGGTATATTGCAGTGAATGCCTCTCAGCAAAACCACATAACTGAGATGCGTTGGAGTGCCGACAGTAATAAAATATACGCTGGTGATCTAAAGGGACAAGTCAGTTGTACACGTATACAGGTCTGTTAATTGCTTCATTCAATTCATGTGTATAACGAGTACGACTGCGTACTTTGCTTGCCAAAAAACGAGTACATTGTTAGACGATCCCGTTTAAAAATCGGTGTTGTAATGAAGCTATGAGAATTCATCCTACGGTAAGATTCAGCCTATGTTCCTCAGACTAAGTCTCAGCCGAAATCTAATTACTGAGTGAGCATCCGCAGCGTTAGCTCACATCGTCCTCTTTTCATTTGGTGCTGCTGAAAAATGTTACTTGCTAAATATTACTCTGTTACTCAGAATAATTTCAATTCGACTTCTATCGATCTTTAAGAGACTCGATTGATGGATGTAAACTATGTTGATAAAATATATGTAAAATTATTATTATTATTATTATCAGTTGATATTTACTCATGTAATTGATATTTATTATTGTTCAAATAGATCTATATTCTATAGTTAATAATCATATAATTGCAGAATCGTAAGTTGTTCCGTCCACGATGTGATGTTCTTCTTGAAACCGATAGTAGTATCGTTCAAATAGATGTTCACCAAGATGCCCTTCTTGTTTCTACCTTAACGCGATGTTGCCTGTGTGATCTTACGACCTTGAATTGCATACAAGTTCTTTATTATTTATTCATTCATATTCAGTGTGTCAGTTGTTTTTTTAATTCCAATGCATCCAATTTCTCGTGGGCCAGCCTCTGTTAAGGCGATGGTAAAGAGGTAAGTAGATGTAAGCTGAATTCGTTCAATTTGAGGACCACCCAATCGGTCGGATAAGATTTGATTGATGTCTACGTTAAACCAAAACTCACCCGTAGGGTGAAAGTTGCAAAAAGATTATTGTTGTTGATGATGATACAATTACTAAACTTCACTGCTTAAGGTTGGTAAGAAGTTACGAAATGGTGATTTTGGTGCTATTTTCTATCCGATTGATGATAAGTGCTCAACAGGAGCAATGAGCAACGAACAGATGAAGCGTGAAACACCAAACGACAACAAAGCTCAGCTTAAATCCACATTACCATCACTTATTTTCGCAAGTCGTCCCAACGCAAGATTATGGGAAGCGAACAGTGAGGGTGTTGTATACAGGTTTGTTTCGGGGATTGATTATGAGGCACGAACGTCATTTATGAATGAATGCAACCACTTTGAATCGAATGAATAAATGTTACATGCTCGATTTCATTCATTCAATCATCAATGAAATTGTTTCTGCATCATATCTACTCTCATCATTGAAATGTTGTTTGAAACTGTTATTCGGATGAATCATTTCAGCACTCATCAGTACCGCAATCTATCTAATATAGCGCGATTCCCGATCGTTTCTTTTCGAGAAAGTCTTTCGTTTTCTATCTCTAAACAGAATGATGCTGGCAAACAGCTGTCATTTGGCCGATTACATCTTATTTATTGTGAACGGTTGGTTTATTACTATTCTTGCCATGCTCGTATTACTTTACGGTTTTTATTTTCTGGGAGGTTTGTTAAAATTTTCGGAAATGCTCCTAGTTAATTATAGTTAGCTTGTTATTTTATTGTAGTTATTATTATTATGTTGTAGTTATTATTATTATTACTATTATTATTGTTATTATTATTATTATTATTATAAATGTAATTATTAATGATTTACTGTTATTAAGATTTGTGACGACTGTTATTAGAAGTTATTTTAAGGCATGCCTTCATCGTAGCCAATGATACGAACTCATTATTTTTAATCGATCCAGCCGATGGTCGGTTTGTGTTGGTATGTGATTTCCCAAAAGATTGTAAGTTTGGAGTATTGGTCTTCATATTTGTTTTTGATTCGCTTGCGAGTTCATAACAATGAAAAGTGATTATCGTTATTACGAATATCACCATTGATGATTTTCAATCGTTTGTTCTGAGAACATTCTCATCGGATGCGTTCGCATCTTTTAATTCAATGCGTTCGAGGCCGAAGAGATTCCCAGTAATAAATCTGAGCAAATAACGATTTGCGGAAGCATACTGAATTTTGAGACAAACGAGGTTTTGTGTCAAGTTAAATTTGTCAGAGAATATTGATGACTTTAAATGATTACTGCTAATTTTCTGCAGCATATATAAACGAGTTTGCGATTTGTGGCTCGGATGTTTTCGTTTTATGTGGTGAAAAAGATAAATTACGTAAACTGACCCTGTTCACCATACAAAAAGCAATCGAAAAATTGCACTGGAAACAGTGCTTTAATCAGGTGAATATTTATTTCATTTTTCAAAATTATGTGCTCAGATTGTTTCAAATTGTAACATTTGAAATGGATGAATTTGCGTCTTTAAGGCAGCTCAGGTGATTTGTGCGCTTAGCACACAAATCGAACGAAGTGGTGTGGTGCCATGGCAAAGCAAAATATTACGAGACATCATAAACGGCTCGCAGCAACAAGCACTACAAGAAGAAACATCTTCGTCCGTTCAGCCTTTGGTAGGAAAATTTATTTTCTTTCAATTTTGAACGTTCAATACAACTGTTGTTATTGAACACCTCATATTTGAATGAAACAACGTACTCGTTATTGATGGCTTATTGTTCAGTGCAACGAATTACTTTACAGGATCGTTCCATCAATGAACAGCAACAAATATTGCGTAGAATTGTTCAGTTAAAAGAGCAAAAGTTGTCATCAACTTCCACCAAAGATGATCGTTCTTGTGGTCCAAGGCAATATCCATCAACAGTCATACATCGTCTCAATACGGGTTATCTTTATTCGTCTCAAATCTTTTCATCGTCTTAAATTCCTCTTATAGGTATTCATCGTGTAGTACGTATCATGGACAATAGTGGCTATGAGGATGATTTCACATTTCGAGCACCCTCACCTTTAAGACAACGTAGCAAAAGCACACCAAATATGGATAGGTCATTTTTACTTCGTTGATGATTTGCGCTTTCGATACCATGTTTTCATTTCGAGCAGAATTCATTTGATGTACTGTATTATCCTTGTAACTCTTCTAATTGTAGCTCTGTTAAAATGATGGCATGGAAACGAAAAAGTTTACCGTTGAGAGAAAATAATGTTCGGAAAAATGATGAAAGTAGGAATGGCGGTGAGGAAGAAGGCAACATGCGAAAGCAACTCATTCAAGAAGCGTTCCATTTATTGGTATGTTCGTCGACATTAGTTTTCAGCTACATCCATTTGGAGGGGTATACCAATCCAGTCATTCTTTAAGAACATCACTTTTTCGAATCGTTTTGTCGAATTGAATGCTCGTTTTTATGTTATTAAATGCTTTTTTATAAATTCTTATAATAAATTATATTATATTATTGAATTAGACTTAAATTATTATGCTTATATTGTGTCATTAAATGCTTATATTATTGTCATTTTCGAAAATTTCCCTCGTATTCTTTCGCCGTGTAATTCCTCGTTCTTTTTTCTCTCTTTATTACAATCGTTTCTACCATTACTTTTTCATTATTCTTTCATTTATGCAACTTGATTCGTCTTTATTAAAACTTCAACTGCAGTTATTTTAATTGCTTCGTTTTAACTCACACTCAATCATCAGAATTTGACTGAAAGATTTCAGGTAAATTTTACGCGCAAACATAAAGCTGTCTGATGAACGCTAGTAATAAGAAGTATAAATATTAGAACTAATAATATATAACAAGGTGACGATAGCAATGGTGTTAATAACATTTAAGGATACGAAACGGTCAAGTCAAACGAACAGTGGAAGCACGGATTCATTGAGAACACTGTTGGCTTGCGGTGAGCAACGGATTACATTCCATTCAGAGGTTTGTCGTTGTTGATTTATGTGCTGGTGTGATTGTAATGATTGCTCATGCAGGTGACCGTGGTTGATGTGCCCAAAGATCTGATGGCTGCAAAACAACTGTTACGTGTAATCGCGAATTCAGAACATCGTAATCGAACTGTGCAATCACCACTCAAGTCTTCCAATCAAGAAAACTCACTCAGAGATGTACTTCACATTTGTCATCTCAAAAATTTTATTTATTTTCTGAATTTATTTTGTGAAATTGAATTTTGCTATTCGGTTTCAAAAAAAATTCGTGTTCAGTTTCAAATTGGAATTCGTTGTGACTTTAAGGATGTTCATTCACCGTCACAGACATTACTCGCAAGCACAAGTGCAGATTTTACAAGTTTATTCGGACGTGAAGATCCTCTTCAAAGAGTATTCAGTAAATATGGTCAAATATCTGCGTCTGAATTAGTTCGGGCTAAAGAACCAGTCAATGTCGAAAGACGTGTTCAGGTCGTGAAAAGACCAAAAAAGACTGGTGCTCGTATTGTGAGGGCTATTAAACCACTGCGCAAAATTGCAAATGTTTGCGAAACAACGACAACGCATCTTAAAGATGTAACGTTTTCATTTGAACCTTGTTCATTCCATTTTGAATGCTTAAAAAATATATTGTCTGCTGTGCATTCGTGTTAATTTTAAATATATTCAACTGTCAGCGCGTATTTAGAGTTGTGATTTGCGATTAAACTGATCATTAGTTATGTACTCATTGAGTGATATCAATCAATAATTTTTTATATTGTGATGAAGAGTAATCGTTCAGTGAATTTGTTTCGTTAAAGCACATTGAGAGAAAAATCTATTAGGTACAAAGTATTGCGGAAGAATAGTTTTGTTATGAAATTGGTGTAATAATGACATGGGTTGGTGTTGTATGATGAGAGTACACTTGCTGTTGGTGTTGTAGACAGCAGTTGACTCGGCTTGCTTTCCACCTATGAGTTTTTGTTGAATTGTTTGTTGGTGAATGTTTATTGCGGCATTGTTCACGAGTATGGTAGGGTTGATTCGTAATCAAAGTGGTAATGCTTAGTTAGGTCTTTAGATGATTGATTATGGTAAAATTTTAGGGTGGTGCTTACTCACTGCAGATGCAGACTGCGACTAGAGAGGATAGTAAAAGCGAGAACAAACTGGAATGTGTTAATGATGGCGTTCAATCGAATGGTATTAGTGAATTGAAGAAAAGTGAAGAGCCATTAAACGAGCCATCGTCGACTGCAAACGATTATTCGAGAAGAGCAGAACTGCTCAATGGTGATGATTATAAACGAGAACGAATTTCAAACTCGGGCAATATGAATAACCTGACTAGTTCGACTGACCTATCCTATAATAGCAATTTATTGACGAATAATTCAAATGATGATGATGACGATGAAAAACTCGAAAAAACGTCAACAAAAATGATTTTTGAAAGTCAACCAAGATGTCAGCTAGAATCTATGGTTAATGGCATTCATAAAACCCATCCACTCAATTTGCCTTTCAATGGAGCGACTTTGCTGAATAATCATCAGTCTGATGCCACCAACACAACGCCCGTCGTTAATAATAGCGATTTGATTGTTGAACGCAACTTTATCACTGATAAGAGAATTCGAGTCAGCTGGTCGATGACTCCGTCATCGAACGAAAATAATGTGAATATGTAAGTTTTAACTTGATTTGTTTGTTTGCTTTCAATTTAAATCCGTTCAGTCATTTAAGAAGGTCCATTGTTCGATTTTATTAATGAATTCTATTTGCATTTTCATTCGAGCTGTTGGTCATTTTTCGTTTATGAAAGTGTTAAATGGGCGTAATGAATATGATGATCGTGATCAAAGCTACGTAATCATGCACATCTCTCGCCGCAATAAAATTGATTGGTGTAAATTAACATGCAATTCATTTCAGATAAATATTTATTTATTCATTTTCAGCAGTGATATTGTAGTGTGTAATGATAGAAAGGATAACGTTAATAAAGATGAATTGAATGGTGAAGAAATATCAGAAAAAGATGATATTTCAGAAGATTCAGATGAACGTCTGATGGAATTGAGTGAAATAACTCTTGAGATACCATCAACACTTCAAACTAGTCAACAGACATCTACCACTTATAATGATAATGATGACCGTTGTCATGTTTGTTCATTGCACAGGTAGGGTGATGTTCATTCGGAATAAGTGTTCATCCAACCTTCCAGTTTTCTTTTATTAATACTTTTTCGTTCTATTGATAATAACTGTATCATATCAGTCAATTTTATGTGATAAACGGATGTGTATTTGGAATAATTCATGCTTGTCTGAGTATTGCAATTCAGGTCGTGGCTGGTCGTAATGGCGTTTGGTGTGTCCATGTCGCAACTGAAGGTGACTGAGGACAATTTCAATAATGGTCATATATTTAAAAATACTTATCTAATAATGTTACTGTTCAAGTGTATTACGGTAATGTTCGAGTGAGATTTCATCATCGTGAACCAATTAGATTATATTAGTTGCCATAATGAAAGCGTTTTCGTATAATATTGACGGTATTTGGTTGTTTTATTTAGAAATAGATGAAGTGTAATTCATTTAATTGCTTTAGGTGGTGTTCCGTCGTGTAAAAAACAGTGGTATCGTTTATTCGTTTATTATATGAAGTTACTGCGTTTGAATGATGGTCGTCGATCATCGTCAACTGATCAACTAGTGACAGGCAGCAACAAATTACTGTGTGATGAATGTTCGGCGTTTTTCGATATTTCGTTGCATCTGAGTAAGTGTGGTTGAACTTCTACTCGTTTTCTATGATTTATTAACATTCTTTCACTGCATTGAAACGCATATTTTTTGATGAATCCTTCAGAAAGACAAAAAAAACATCTTGATCTCTTAATCATCCAATGGTTTTTTTTTGTTTTAAATTTATGAAGTTATTTAATTTATGTGACATATTTACATTTATATAAGCAATGAGTTTCACGTTTTTATTGTGTGAATGCAAAGTTTTGTGTGCTAACCGTAGAAGTGTTTAGCTGACGAAAGCATTGATCATGCTTCAGAGAATAACATTTCAACAGTAAGTAAGTGTTTGCACCGTGCACAAAGGAGAAATAACACTGATGAAAAACGTACCAGAAGCATTATGCGCAAACTGGCACTCGCATTCGATGAATCGCAATCACGAGAGTTGTTTTTTAAGACGAAGTACAAGCGAGGCAAAGGTTCGTTGCGTTTTTGTTCATTTAAGTGAAAGTGACTGAATTGTCTTGTGGAAATTTCCAAATGCGGTTCGTAAATTTAATTTTTTTCCCAAAAATGTGTTTATTTAGTTTCCGCAGAATGTCAGGTTGCAAAGAAAGGAGAGCGGTTTTGAGAAAAATAAGTGAAATTTCATGATTCAATCGGAATTCAGCTTTACGCAAGCCTGTTTCAATAAATGTTATTATAGAAGTGGGTAGGTATTTTTAGCTGGGCGAATACCGTTTGTTGCAGAGATTGATCAGGGTCGGGGAGAGTTCATGTGAGTAATGAATTCACGTTGGATAAGACCTTAATGCTTAGCCGTTTCGGTTTTTGTTATGCGATGCATGAAATATGGAGTCTTACGTCAACTAGAAGACAATGTGTGGTTTGTTTTAATCGCTGACGGCTGATGTTTATGCGTTCATCGCCGACATTCTGAGGATTGTCATTCATCACAGGAATTAATTGGATGCTCTTTTGTTATGACATCTGTGTGATCATTACCGCATTCGTTTTGTTGCATTTCATTTGGTTTGTCCTATTGAATCAATCTCTGTTTCTAGCATCACATCCTACACAGACATCGACTGTTTCTGCACTGATCGCTTCATCCAGTGTTGAACCATCAGCATCTGTTCGCAAACCATTACATGTAAATGAAGAAATGCTGTCGAACAATCCTCCTCAAAATAGTGATTGTGATTCTTCCGCCTCAGCTGCTACTGAGAAAAATCATCCTATAATTAATGTCACCAAGGATCTATCAGCATTGTATTACGAACAAATTGCCCAGAAACGACGGCAGCTTTCAGAGAAGGATATGAATACGACTGTAGATGATGAATTACCAAATTTTGATTGGATTTCTGCACTGACCATCTCGCAGGTTTGTTTGTTTATTGTTTCATTTGATTTCATTTTAAATTATTTCATTTGTATGGAGGATGATATGGCTTTTATTGAAATGATGTGTAACGCGTTTCAGTTGTTGTTTTGTATGCGCTTAAGTGAGGGGATCGATGCAATTTTTGAATTGTTGAACACCAATAAAGCAATAACTACTCATCTCACTCAACAAGACTGGCAGTGGTTAGCACTTCTGAAAGCTGATCGATGGAAGCGAATCATGCCCAGACAAGTACTTTACATATTCGTTAGGCTTTCAGATTTTTCCAATTCGTAGAATTGCTGTCAACTAAAGTTCATTCCGTTAATGAGTATTATTCATAAGCATTAAGAATAAAGCAGTTGGACTCATGTAAATTCGAGATCAATCAAGATTATTTGTTGCCGGATAATTCGCTTGTAGAACTTAAGAAAATGTTTGAGTAAGCGAAGAATAATTTGAAGTCAATTTACAGATTGTCAAGGACGTTTTGTGCGACCTCAATATCAAATCAGTCGAAGATGTTTGTTCAGTTCCGGGTGATTCAACTGATCCAAAGAATGCTCTCTCAGATCGTTCATCTTTTTCTAAACAGCAATCGAACAACATGATAATTGCTGTGGATGGGTAATTTTTATTTTTTTTTAGCATTCTTTGAATCATGAATTGTCGAATCGTTCTTCAGCTGGTTCTGTTGGTAGCCAATGATTAAAAGCCACATATACGTAGAATCTTAGTAAGACTCAGTCAGTGAAAATAATTAATAGTTGATGGATGTTTGTGTTGTTTCTATTACTGATGAAGTGATAAGCAATTTGCAGAAATTGTCCTTGTTGCACCCTTCCGTTGAAAGGACGTGTCTCAGATACGGATTGCTTCATAATCGCATTTCGTTGTGGTTAGTGCATCTTATCGTCGTTTTTTTTTTTTCATTTCGAATTTATTTTCTCATTGTTAATTCATCTACAGTATTTAGTCAAGAAACAACAGAAAATATAATCTCACAGCAGAGCATCAATCTTGAAGATTTTCAATTAGTAGCCAATGATTTAATTTACTAGTTGTCGTATAAAAACATTAGCAGGTTTTATGCTCTCGAGCCAACTTGAAATCAATTGAGATAAAGCATATGCTTTGTTTGATCGTTGCTTTTTTTAAAGCAAGGCCGATTCATAATGCGCATTCAGATTTTGAATTTTGCGATAGTCGTATCCAATTCCAAAAGTTCTTTATGGACCACTAACCAATTATTATTAGTTTTTAATGAAAGCTATTCCTCACATTTTTACAGTTTGATATGCTGTTTAACTTGTTACGCTCATTTGTTATGAATAATTAATGGTATAGTGTAACGAAAAGAAATTACCATTCAGGGCATTCATATCACAAAGTATGTCTGAAAGAAGCGAGTATATCGCGTTGTATTCGTTGTGAAATTGAACGACGACGCCATCGACTTCAGCATTCACAAGCCCCCACACAGCACCAGCAGTATCAGCGTTCTTCACTGAACTCTTCATCTTCTTCCAACTCTTCTCGTATCCAAACAATACCTTCTGCAATTAATTCCACCCAGTTGCAGAGACATGCTCCGGTGCGATCAGCGCGAGTGAATGTCTCTCTTACGTCAGTGCCGAGAACGTTCAAAAGAACTTGATTGATTTTGAATTCGTATTTCATTTGTTCATTGTTATTATCATTAACTCATTTCGACTCGATGATCACCCTATTCAATCCCAAAACTTAGTCTTCCCGGGAGCTATGCAATTGAGTTTATTGGTAAGCCAAATGCACTGAAATTAGGAACATTAGAATATGGTCTTTCCAGACATCTTCTTTAATGAAAGTATACGGAATTGTTAAAACAGAGCTTAATCCATTAGTTTTTGCTGGGAGCAACGATTACGAAAACTGAACACAAAGTGTCTGTCGAAGGCGACCTTAAAACTTGTGTATTTGTACGAACAGACACAGGAGTATTTTAGTTCGTTCTGCTTGAATTAGGCTTAGGATTACAAACGGCTGATTGTTGAGGGGATTGCTAGCGTTTGTGTCACGATTCAGAATTGTCGTCATCGTGGCTATTATTGAGATTATGCTTTAATATTACATACCGCTTTTGTTGAGTTCGTTTGGTTTGTTGCAATTCGGAATGTCGCGTGTGTTTACCATTCATTCCTCAATTCATTTCTGCATTGCTCCTGTATCCACCTGTCCAATCTCATTATTGTATCACCGTCATGACTGAGATGCGTCAACAATGGAAGGATTCTTTTTTTTGTTGCAATATGAATGAATAATCATTCCGCGTAATCGTAATATTGAAACAACGGCAGCAATGCAATAAAGGGGAATTGCATTAAATTGATTTATCAGTTTGGTGGTGAGTATACGGCTCAATTATTGTGCTCCGAAGATTGTTCCTTTAATTGATTCATTTTATTTCATTTGACTGTATCCTTTCCATGTATCGTTAAAGTTACTATTTTTTTGACTTTCCCTTGTCAAATAATCGATTTAATCAAGGATACAAATTCGATTTCATTTGATAGAATAGATCAAAGTTTGCATTTAAATATTCGGAGTGATTTTGAGGATACAATATATTGAGGAGTAGATTGCAGGCTTTACGATTCTATTTGCAAATGATAATTATGATGTATTCAATTTTGACAGCGGGTTTAACGGAATTACTTTGGCGGATTCATTTATTCCTTGAGGAAAATCAAAAAATTCATTCTTTGGGAGACTTTCGAAAGTCTTGATAGTAAAGTTTTATGGAAATTTTAGTTCCGGGAAGAAAGATTCCGTGCAATTTGAAAATCAAAAATTATGAAAGAATCATTGGGAAAGTTTTCGAAACAAAGTTTTGGTAGTAAGATTTTGTGGAAATTTTAGATCCGGAAAGAGAGATTCCATGCAAATTGAAAATCAGAAATTGTGGAAAGAATCATTGAGAAAGTTTTCGGAAGATTTTTAAAATTTTCGACAGAAAGTCTTGACAGTAAAATTTTATGGAAATTTTAGCTCCGGAAGAGAAAATTCCATGCAATTAGAAAATCAGAAATTGTGGAAGGAATCATTAAGAAAATTTTGGAAGGAAGATTTTTAAATGTTTTCGAAAGAATGTTTTGATAGTAAGATTTTACGGACATTTTAAATCCGGCAAGAAAGATTCCTTGCAATTATCCTTGCAGCTTCTATGCATAGAAACTAATGATGATGGTGATGATCAAAACTTATTGGTGATAATGACCGCGATAAAAAAGAACGAAGTGAGCGATGTATTTTGCGATTTTGATAGGGAAAGCGGGATCAGCGTCATATTCGATCAGCATCATATTCTCTTTTCAATGGATTACTTGACATTGACAGATGAAATTTCTGTTCGGGTACTTTTTCCATTTCGATCGCTTGCAAAGACATTTTTCGTTATGAAGGTTCATTTTAAGTTGCAATCTCGAAAACTAGATTATGAATTTCCTTGAAACCTTCTGTGCTTGTAGGGAATTAAATTTGGAATCAGTCGCGAAGGTTGGGCTACGACGATTTCTCGTTGTTAGCTTTCACAGCTACATTCATTCTGTTGGTTTTGTGCGCATTTACGAAGCGTTTTCCTCTAATTCTCTCTCCTTTCAACATTCGGACGTGCATGCGTATGAAAGTGCACTTTGGCTTCTTTTACCCCAACTGTGGTGCATATGAGTTCTGATTTTTTGCATACGGACACCATTCAAGACTCTGACAGTGAGTTCACATTTGCATAGAACTTACGACTCATCGAACACTCCGTCTGAAGTAGTGTGGTGCGGAGATCAGAGAATTTTGAGGACCCATTCCCGAATCTCTGTCCCCAACTTTTTCGTGCAACGACATTGTCGAGGTTCTCGATTGCAAAATTTCGTCCCCGATTTTCCCTGTTCTCGACTTTCTCCAATCCCTGCAACACATTAGTCCAAACTGAGTTAGTTCATTTTGTAGCATCTATTTACTGCGTGTGTGGTGGGTAAACATCAACTTTATTGTCCGTGTGGTGTGTGTCGTCATTTATTGTGTTAACGAGCGACATGATATCGCTCGTAAGGTTCGCATGCTCTGCAATCATGTTCAACTGGGTTGGGGTAAAAGAAGCCAAATTGCACTTTCGTACGCGCGCGGGCC